TTACAGGTTGAAGATAAAAGGGTGAAAGCCCAGATTTGGGACACGGCTGGCCAAGAGCGCTATCGTGCGATCACTTCAGCTTATTACCGAGGTGCAGTCGGCGCGTTGCTGGTCTACGATATCGCCAAGCATATTACTTACGAGAATGTTGAACGATGGCTCAAGGTGCGACCTGTTTACTCGTAGTGTCATCATTAATTCCGAATTTTGTCATACGTTGCATTCTCTTGGATATATTCATAGTCAAACACTCGCAGCAAAATACACAAATGGGCACTATCAAATAATTTCTCCATAGTTTCAGTATCATAGTTTCAACGAACAGACTCCATCTAATAGAATGAAATTTTCGAAAAATTTAAGGAACTGCGAGATCATGCCGAGCAGAATATTGTGATCATGTTGGTTGGTAACAAGAGTGATCTTCGTCACCTACGAGCCGTACCAACCGATGAAGCGAAACTTTTCGCTGAACGGAATCACATTTCGTTCATTGAAACCTCAGCGTTGGATTCAACAAATGTTGAGAGTGCGTTCACTACGATTCTAACTGAGGTTCGCTTGTTGACAGTTCGAAATCATTTCTGCCTAATATTGGGACTTCATCAAATCGACCGAAGAGCATATTACTTGATTAGCAGATGAATCGAATCGTTCATTCTATTCAACTTACTGCTGCTGTCAGAATATCATAAATTGTCATTTCATCAGAAATGTGTATTGAGATTCAAAGATATCGTTTTCTTGAAAACTATCTGAGGCTGGAATTCACAAATGCTCTACTGAATTGATAGTGCTGCTGAATTTTGAGGACTCATCTGAATTTCAGATTTACAAAATTGCTTCAACGAAACAAATCAAAGACGCTGGCACTCCAATGGCATCGCTCACGTCGAATCGAATCGTGATCTCGTCAACGGTCGATCAACGCAAAAAGAAACAACAGTGCTGTTCTGGACAAACAAATTGATTGATTAAAGATTCGTCGTCGTAATATCAGACGATTATGAATTTTTCGGGGACTATGAATCTTCTCAAGCGCGACCGACCATCTATCACATTCAGTTACGCTGTTGCATTGTAACATCTCTATTCCCAAATCCATGCACATAGCTCTGAAGGCTTGTAAAAGTTCGAAATGAGTTTATCCAGATAAATGCTCACAAAAATTCGATTCACTATCAAGGACATGCTGCTAAACAAAATGAAAATCCATCTCAACTACTTCAGCAAAAGCCTCAGTCAGTGTCTAGTGTGGCTGGCTTTCAGTAGATTTTCAGTTCACCGCATGGATTTGGATGTTCACAGCTGTTGTTCGTGTTTCATTCTTATATATTCATTTCAACGTTTCGCATTCTCATCATTCATTACTCTAGGTCGATATTGATTAATTCTCATTTACGGGTATTTGTATGCGTTTCTACTTGAATTACGTGAATTTGTTGAGCAAAAACCCGTCGAATTATTGTTTAAATCGCTGAATCCAATCACGACCACCTCTTCATTTCGGGTATGGATTAAACCTTGTGTACCCACCCACCCATCCGTCAAATAATTCAAGTGATGACCTTCACAAAATTCAGAGTTAAGATATTAGAGTTGTTGACTGCCGTATCAATGCCACTCACCAGGCTTATTCGTTTTTGAGTCAACTCTTCGTGTCGTCTTTTTTACAAATTTTACTTTCTTTGCTTCTGTTTTCACCATGTGCCTTGCCGTATTTATGTCTTGATTGTGAACGAGAAATATTTTGAGTATTCATGTTGTATATGATCGTTTATTATTTGATATTTCATTTTGCATAATATTTTCAATGCGGTTCAAAGTAAATCACTTCTTTTTATAAATGCTCATTTGTGAAGCATCCAAAGTAACGTGAATATTATGAAACATACAAGGAAATTGTAGTCAGTGCTGTCGAGTAGATGATAAACATGCAAGAAAACAGAAATAATTGAAGAGAAGATGAATTGACGATATGAACAAATAAATCTGAATCAAATGCCAGGATAGCTGTCGGTTTAGCTTGGACGAGTTGGGTGCTTCGGTCGAATCGTTGAATCGAGAGCACGTTTGTAGTAGGGTTTAGCTTCAACTGGGTATAACTCTACCACTTCAGCAACCTAAAAATTCAACTCCACTTTTGTTCGTTATCACAAAATGGTCATCAGAATAAAGAACTTTTGATATGCTCTACACTCAGTTTCCTTAAACAATAATGTTTCAAGGCTTTGTAGCTCTATCGTACGGCATTCAAAGATGAATAATATATTGTCGGATATGCACTCACCCCATTCAATTTACTATTGCCTTGTTGATCTTCCTCATTTTCATCACTTTTTTCAAACGAATTCAAGCCTTCAATGAATGCCTCTACACTGTCTGTTATCGACTCCCTGGATGGCGCATTCAGGTCGTCTTCAGTGATGAAATCTTCTTGTAACTGCAGTGAATTGCCATGGTCTCCGTTTAAACGCGATTTCGTTCCGGTTCCATTCCGTGAGAACTTCTCTCTAGAATAGTCCAGTCCGGTTTCGGAACTTTTGTTGAATTTCGAATTATGCGGTGCCCATTGATCGTTATCATCCACTTCGCGTCCGTATTCGTCTGAGGAAATTTGATCTATTGAGGCCGGTTTTGCTGGCGATTGTCTATCAGCAGCCATCTCCGATGATGCACTGTTACGTGCGGCTCTTAATTTCGAAAATCCACTAGATTTCTTTCTTGGATGAGGCGGCGCTCGTAGTGGTTCTGCGCTTGGTGCATCCAGTCCTTCTCTGCTTTCAACAAATCCGTACGATGCATCTTCGGCTGAATAGCCTTCAGTTCCACTTTGATTCGCTATAATGAGCAGTTGATGTTACTGGAGTTTTGTGGCTATTCATGCATTAGATACCCACTTAACTCTCATGGATTGAACACATAGAATTGTTGGCAAAATTGCATGAAGTGTACGCAGAAGTCAGCAAACTTTTTTAAATGTTGATGAACTCAATCAATTATCTCATAAATTCTGAATGCCTGATGGAATTAACCAGCTTCAGGTGAGATAGCTGGTCTCGCGTATAGCTTTTGAGTTTGGCTTGAGACTTTTTGAGCACGTGGCGGTGGCTCATTACTTTGGGCGTTTGCTGGCCAATTCATATCTGACGTACGCTCCGGACACGGACAGTACTCACCATCAAGACCTAGAATTCGAAAATGCATGAAATGATACAAATTGATCATATTGCAACGCTCTTGCCGTCGTTGCCATACTGATCAGTTCAATTCAACTGAAAATCTAC